ATCCCATTCTTAATTACTCATGACTCGTATACACCAAGCTATTATAGAGGGGCCTGGTGGAGACCATACTATCAATGTTCATCACTAATAATCAGAACACTTATACTGCTAATACTTGCTACTTTTGGTACAAAACGTTCGCAGTAGTGATAAAAAGGATGAAACTGGTAACATTAAAAACGTGTATTTAGAACACAGTATCATTCCAAACAACCATTCCTTCCAAATCAATCCAATATCTATTACAACAAGGACCCCCACAACATCGTTTGACAATGGCTATGGCTTGTACACTACGCGTATTGGCTTCTAAGCCCAACGTACTACCCTGTTAAGCCATAAACTTCAAAAGTGCTTAATCCTTTAATACCTTAAGCGCAAATTACAGATCTTAGTCCATTAACATGTCTTAACTCATAAAGTCGATTACTTGGTGGCTTGCAACCCACCAAATGGACCCAAACATGGAATATAGCAACTAACTTCCATGGAAATGAATAGAACTCATGCATGATCACAAAAGGACCTCAAAGATCGAAACTTTATTGTTATGGGGAGTTATTTAGCACTAAGGGTGGCATCCACAAGCCTAGATACGAAGCTGAACCATAAAAATCTATTATTGGGACCTAATGTGACAAACTAAAATTTATTTTTTGTACAAACCGTTCAAAATCAATCAAGTCATATTTGTTTCCGCTATCATTTAGCATTGTTTGGGGTCTATTTGGGTATTCTAAGCTCAGTGCAATCAAGGTTTGGGTTCATGGATGAGTTATTCTAAGTCATAGCATAGTATTCGGGCCAAACACTCATTTAAGAGGAGTGTACGGCTGTATACATGAGTTTACGGCTATACACCCCCCTCATGGCCAAAAACTCCCCCTATATAAGGGGTACTTAGCCTTCATTCATCAGTTTACACACTATCAAGTCTATATCTCTCTATCTCTCTCTCTCTCTCTCTCTCTATCTATCTCTCTACCTTCATCGAGTTTTCATCAAGATCTTCAAAGATGTAAGTGTTTCCCATCTTGATTTGTTGCTACATTCCTTTATCTAGTGGTGAATTCATGTTTTCATCTCATAAATTTCATCATTGGCTAGATCTTCATCTTTCACCAAGAACACCAAGAACACACACTAGTTATTGGTGTCCAAAAACCTTCTTCAATCTTCCAAATCATGAGTAACTGCTTCCTATGCTTGTTATCTACTAGAAATGCTTGATTTTCACCTTGAAATCGACCAACTTAAGCATGAACACAAAGGGTTTACGGCCGTAAACCCATGTATACGGCCGCACACACCTTAATGGCCGTAAACCCTAGTTGTTGGTCAAAGATTGGCCTTAAACTCTTCTTAAAGCTAAGCATGGGACCTAGAACACTTCCGGGAGGCTAGAAAGGACCTTAAAACACCTCAGAATGCACACTTCTTTAAGAGTGTACGGTCGTACAGTCCTTGGGTGTACACCCATGGGCCATACACTCTTTGGCCATAAACTCCTTTGGGTCGTAAACTCACGGCCGTACACACCTTAGTGTGGCCGTTAACCTCCCTCATTCAATCACATATGATTTTAACACTTACTTTCAAGCGTTTCCTAGTCCCTAAGGTGGTTTCCTTTGATAATCAGTTGTGGTTTACCCTAATCTAATACTTATATGTGCTATTGTATGTTAAATAGGATCCGTTTGTGTTCGAGACTTCACTTGACACTCAGCATCCCTATCGACCCTTACATTTGAATCACACATCAAATAGTAAGTTCATACCCCTACGCTTTTATGGTTTTTATACGTTTTTAGGGGGAAATACAAGCCAAACACAAATGATTTTGTGAACTAAAACAGAAGGGATTTCAACCAGTTTAAAACTTATGCAATTGATACAATCCAACGATTTCCATAAAATATATAAATATTTTATCCCTTTTGTATTATGTGAAGAATAAGGGAAATTTTCTAAAGACAATTGCATAGTTTTAAGAACAAATCATGAACATAACATTTCAGTCAAAATATAATAGGTATAGTTTGGGGAATTTATTACATGTTTTTACCGATACACAATACTTACTTAGTCAAATATATAAACTATGACAGATTTAGTTTATGATATTCGGTTCTACGTTTAGATAATAAGAGTATAACATTAAATAATTATTCTATATATAATTTTTTATACTCTACCAAGTATAAAAAAGATTCCAAATACGAGAATATGATACAGAACAACACGTAAATTAGTTAATACAGGATTGTGAGACATCTCTTCAATTGTACCCTTCAGGGTACTAGTAAAATCCTCTACATTTAGTATAGCTAGCGTCTCCTGGAGGGAGAGCATGAGATTTGTGAATAGATCTATTCGGGACTGACAATCCCACACCTAAACTACTAGCTACAGTTAGGCATGCATGCCTGGGGTGGCAAATATCAAACCGTACGACGCATGAAGAAACGTTGTGGAGGTCATCAGTCATATCAAGCATGGTTATACAAACTCACAATAGTATAAACTAACTTTTGTTTACAGGATTTGATTCTTCAGTAGTTTTATTTTAAATAATAGAACTACTACACACTACACTGGAGGGTCTTCTAGGGATACAATACTTAGTTTTATTTTAAGTAATAAAACTACTTTACATATTGGTGGTAGCCAGGCTATTCAAACAGAACACACACTACATACTGGTGGTAGCCAGGGTTTTCAAAATAGATCATACTTTACATACATTAACAACATACATGTTAGAAAATATTATGTTTTCTTAGGAAGCATGCATTCATTTTTCATAATAAGGTTTTCACTACAAAACATTCTTAAGATCTCACCAGCTAAATGCTGATACTCTTTCAAAATCGCTTGTGTTCTCAGGAAATCAGTAAATAGGCACCCTTGCAACATTTTGAGAAGACGGAGCATATAGAGACACGATTTTTACTTATTTTTTCTTACTTTTGATGTATACAAACTTTGTATCAAACAGATGTAAATATTCATATTATATTGTAATGGTTGTGTTTACTTTGATTACTATGATGCAATTGTTGTGATACTACATATGACGTCCTCCATACCCGAACGTTTCCACCATTTTAGTTTGGGGTGTGACACCTAAAGAGGTCCAAAATTCCATTAACATAGATCTAAGCATTCGTGAGGCAAGTTGAAAGCTTTTTACCTCAAATGAGTGAGAAATGGTGATGTAATCTTGGATCCTTAAGCTCAAGATACTCAAGTTCTTCTTTACTAACTCCTTCTTTCTCCTTCCATGCTTAAAACCACCATGATGAGCTTCAGAAGATCAAAACCACACAAGGATGAGGGTATTAGGCTTTCTACCGTTTGTATGAGGTTGAGAGGCTGGTGAGGAGGCTAGGGTTTAAGTCATAATGTTGTATTTATATGGGTTAAACCCTAAAAATTAGGGTTTTAAGTCTACTTTCTTATGTTGCACGTACAAACCTTCGGCCCCCGCATCGAATGCTTGTCACACCCGCAAAACCAGAACAATGGAAATGTTCGGGGGCGGAGGATGTCATGTACAGTATCACAACCATTGCATCATAGTTCAATGTAAACACAACCATTACATTGAATAAATAAGGCATTTTCATATGTTCGATACATAGTTTGTATAACAACAAAATGTATAACAAATGTATAAAAGACGCGACTCTAAAAGTTCCGTCTTCTAAAAACCTGCAGGTGTACATGTCTACCAGTTCCCTGAGAATACAAGTGGTTTCAAAAGTGTATCAATATTTAAGTTGGTGAGTTTAGTAGAATGTTTTTGTAATGTGAACTTCTCTTTGAATCTGTGAAAATGTTTGTATGTTTCTAAAGAAAATCCAATATTTTCTTTAGTGTAAAGTTGTCTTAAACCCTAAGAACAAATGTACGTTTGTTAATGTATTTTGTAGTTGTATATGAAAGTATTAGTATGTATGCCTGGTTACCACCAGTTGTTTTGTATGAAATCTCTGGTTACCACTAGTAATGTATAGTATGTTCTGTATGAAAACCATGGCTACCACCGGTAATGTATAGTATGTTTTGTATGAAAACCTTGGCTACCATCAGTAATGTATAGTAATTTTATTACTTAAAATAAAACCATGTGTTTGTATTTCCTGGAATCCTCCAGTTGTATTGTTTAGTAGTTCTATAAATTAAAAAAAAACTTTTTGAAGAATTGAATTCTCGTAAACAAATGGTTAGTTTATACTGTTGTGAGTTTGGTATAACCATGCTTGATATAACCAAGTGACCTCTACAACTTTCTTCAGGTGTCGGAACTGTATGATATTTGTCACCCCAGACATGCATGCCTAATTGTAGCTAGCAATTTAGGTGTGGGATTTTCAGTCCCGTATACACAAATCTCACACTTTCCCTCTAGGAGACTCTGGTTATACTGTGGTAGGATTTAGTTCCGCACCCCAGAGGGTACAATTGAAGTAGTGCCTAACGACTATGTATTAACTAGTTTACGTGTAGTGTTGTAGTGTTCTCTTGTACTTGAAACTGTATGTATAACTTTTAGAGTAAAACTAATTATACTTCAATAATTATTTGGTGTTGTACTCTAGTATTCTGAAAATAGTATTGTCACTACTAGAAAAACAGCCTTTTACGACGCTCATTGCGTGTCGTAAAAGGCTCAGACGACGCGCAAATGCGCGTCAAGGAAGGCCCTGTCATAAAGTGAGACGACGCGCATTTATGACACGCAATGCGTATCAAGGAAGGCCCTGTCATAAAGGAGGACGACACACATTCACGTGTCGTAACCTTACGACGCGCGTGTTAATGACACGCAATGCGTATCAAGGAAGCCCCTGTCAAGAAAGGCGATGTGATAAATGAAGATGACACACATTTTTGCGTATCATAATTTTAAATGTTTAAAAAAAAATATTCTTTATAGGTTTACTTATTTTCAAATTAAATTTGTATTTAATATTTCATAGTAGAAAATAAAATAATATATACAAATAATAGAATCCATTGCATAAATTTAATGTCATACAATTCTATTTCTTACAATATATAAATTTGCATCTAATCTACTATGTACATCAAATTCCATCTAAGTAATTTCACTTGCAGGAGGCATCAACTCCATGCTCCAAATCACTAATAGAATAATAACAAACTACACCTAGAGTAGACTACCTTCTTTTGGCTCCATTACTTCCCAACGAGATTCACTCCTTCCACAATAACAAATTGTAATTCTTCCTTATCATTGGTATTGGAAATATCACAGAACTTGGTGTATTCCAAGATAATCTGATATCCTTAGTGCTAGGAGATGTTGGTGGGCATTAACCAATCAACCAATGAGAACTCATGGTGTAAGCAACTAAAGAACATATTAAAAGCATTAATGTAATAAATAATAATTATGAAATTTAATATGTTTAGGTGTTAAAAAAGACCTTGTATTGATGTACGCTTAGTGGGGTTCTACTTATAGTATGGAAGGTTGCATTCAGAAAGTGGTTCAAGGGATTAGTTTCTAGTTCAAAGTGACAAGTCTTCCAAAAGCACTTCTCTTTCCACAACAACTCTTGGTTGATAACAGATCAACTGTTAATGCAAAGGTGCTTTAATGGTTACCATTGGGACAAGATTGGTGAAAAGACACTAATGAAGATCCATTCATTGAAATGAAATTTATTATAACCTAACTATATGCAGATTCAGTATATGTCTCAACATAAAAACTAAACCAAATTCCAATAGGATTATCTGTTGCAACATCCAATCCCATTGAAACTAGCTTTCGGAAAAAAAAAAGTTGGCTTCTGAAGAGGGAATATAACAAAAAGAAAATGATTAGTTAAGTACTAAAACTAAAAAAAACACAATCAGATAAAAAGAAAAAGGAAATGACCTCACTGAAATGCAGGTGAGAATCTTACAGCTTGCATTATTTCTCTGCACACAACATAATGCTTCTATTTAGTACTTTTATAAATAATTGAATGAACTTTGTCTTTATTTTTTATAGGCACTGTTTAGGATAATTAATGGGCCCATGGACCCATGGAATGTATGGGATCTTTTCTTCATTGGTATCATTTAGATTTATAAATTGTAGCTTTCTCTTTAGGAATTATTTCAAATCTCTAGGATAGATGGTTCCAGTTATAGTGTTTCATCAAGATTCCAAGAGGGTCAATTGCTAAATCTTGATGCATTGAATCATCTTTTCCAAATGCAAGAAGTGCATGAGGGGCACTGAAATTTAGTTTAAAAGAAATAATTAACATAATAAAGCTTTTACTTTTATAAAAGTTATGGCATAAAAATACACAACATACCTTCCTGGAACTGAATTGAAGTCACCACAGACTAACATTGGAATATCTGCACTTGCAACTATCTTTTCTAATCCTTTTAACAGTGTGTGAACCTTCAATATTCCCAATTATATAGTTTTTAATTTTTAAACAAGAAGAAAAAGTGTATATATATACAAACAACAGGAGATACTTATCTTCTTTGGTGTCATTTCTCTTCGACTAAATCTACACTAAAAGAAATGTGCCCATGTAAGTTAATGTCAAAATTCCTAAGAGGGCAAAATGGTCATAATAATTCAGCATAATCCTAAAGAGTATTTTTTTTCCGAGTGGAAAGTGAATAGATAGATGAAGTGTCACACCTGAACCAGTTCACTAACAAAACAAGAAGACATGGTCTTAGTAAATCCAATCCAACACGTAAGACCTAAGCCAAGAGGCTCCCCCAAGTCTGACTCACTGCGGTCCATCAATGCAAAAATTATGGCTTGAGCAACATCCTCATTGCAGGAACCCACATACACCAAACCCAATGCAATTGCTATGAACAAGATAACATCAAACCCTGCTTTCGGTTCACCAAGAATTTGACTCAGTTTGTCATGGATCTGAAAACGAAAAAACACAACTATCAGCAATGTTTGTGTGTGTGTGTGAATTGTCAACAATAAGGAGGACCTACCTGTTCATTCTGGGTACTCGCATATGCAAGGCATAGACCAGTTATGGCTCCAATTCTAATGGAAGCATTTTCTTTATCCAGATAATCAACAAAAATTGCCGACGCCTGAAACAACCCAACCCAAAATAAAATCACAACCAACAACCAACAACAACAGGTCAGAAAGAAAAAAGAAAATTAAGCACTCACAGGGTCACAATCATTCTTGATACCACAGTTTATAACCCCAACACCTAATAATGCACCAGCAATCACATGATTATCATTGCTGTGAAAGTACTTGTCAATTTGAGCAAGCCCAGCATCAACATCCCAAAGGAGGATCATTCCCTAAAATCACATCACAACCAACCAATTTCCTTTCTTCATACAACAACATTCAACTTTAATCATTTATGTCAATAACAAATCGCGACAAATGAGCAGTTTTTCAAAGAAGAGCTAAATGCAACTTCCAATTATGATATGATAGTTTGAAAAACCAACCCAATCACAACAATGAAACTTGGGTAGATTTCCTGTTTATGTAAACCATAGACAGAATTTCAAACACATGATGATATATGGAATAGAAATCCAAATAATTTCCAATATCAATATTTTATTCAACACTTTATCAAAATTAATACATACAATGTAGATGAACCTTAAGAATAGCTTTCCCAGTTCTATTTAATTGCTTTTTCTACACCCTGAAAAAGACATACAAAAAAAAGCAAACTATACCCTCGTTAAACTATAACATAACGTTAGGTGCTTGAGGAATAAGAAAAACCACTAAAACAATTTGTAAGAGAACTAAGACAAAATAAACATGATTTTACCCTAATGTGGCCCACTCGATTGCGGTCAAAAAACCTGAAAGCCTGTCATGAACAGGAGATATTTTTGAAATTTAACAAAAGAATTTATAAAAATTCACAAGAATTACACATTTTAAAGATGAAATACCGGCAAGAGTTCCTTGTTAATGGTAACTGGTGCTTCTTTTTTCTTATTCGTGTCCACCTTTTTGTTTTCCTTTTTCTCCTCAACCTGCAACTTGGTGTCTGGATTCACAGTTACCTTAGCAGCAACAACATTCTCTTCTTCAACTTTCACTTTTTCTTCTACATTTTCAGAGTTAACATCCATGACAACTTTTTTTCATCCTCTCCTTTCTCCTATAAAAAGTACCATAAAATATGAGACTTCACCAATTTTAAAAGCAATTAAATAAAACGCATCAAATTCAGAAAATAAAATTCACTCGCCTCGTTTTTAGGACTTGCATCTACCATTTCTTCATCATCTTCTTCGGGATCTTCTTCTTTTTCTGATTCGTCTTATGCATATCTGTCGAATTACACATTGCTCAATCAATAAACTTATGAAAGTGTGTTGTGCTTTTCTTTAGTTTACATAGATACTAAAACCGGTAATTGGAGGAAATAGTTTTTTTTAGACAGACAAAAGGGTATAATGGTTTGCTTACTGAAAAATATTTAAAACACTTTGGAAAAGGGTAGAAATATATTTTTTTTACCTAAGATGTATTTCTCGTTGAAAAACCCAGCTCCACGAGGATTATAACCACATGTAATCTTTGTAGGGTTTCTACAGCCACATGTAAACCAAGAAAATTTGTAAGTAACAGAGATGGATATTAAGAATAAATATGAATTATATTTTATTAAATAATAGAGAGAAGCTAATCTCCCCCTTTCAATTTTAATACTTTTTGTAAATTGTAATAATATTTAACAAGTTAATCATTTATGACATTTAAGAAAATTAGAAATTGCCATAATTATTGGATTAATGTTCCACGAAAAGCTCATAAGCTTTAAGAACTTACTTGGATTAATGTTCCGTGAAAAGCTCATAAGCTTTCCAGCATGTTTGTCACTAGAGGCGGTGGCAGTGGCAGCTCAGATGTTTCAATTGTCTGTGCGTGGGAAATCACAGGTGGTGTTAATTGTTCTAAAGTCTCAGTTGTCTTTGTGCTTGTAACAAGAAGTGAGGTTGAATTCTCTAAAGTTTCAGTTGTCTGTATCTCCATTATTGCATACACCTAGAAAAACTGGTCACAATCATCATTGGGGAACATCTTAACAACATGTATAGAACATTCATGTACAAAATGGTCAAAATGGAGAGGAGAGGAATTAAGAACAAAAAAGTACTGCAAGTCAAACCAACCGAATCAGTTGATATAAATGTAAAATGACCTACCTAGCTACCTCTAAAACTCAAATAAAACAAAAAGGAACTGACTAACTTAATAAGTTCCTTATGGATACATAATTGTGTTGAATGTCATTTCTGATCATACCATTCTCTATAACATTTATTCTTTTAGCAGCTTCTGCTCGTGACTCATTAATTCCATCTTCATAAGGAGCATTCACATTTCCAAACAATGAAAATAGTAACTCATATGCTGTAATATTTCCATCTTCAAAACTGTGAACTTGTATGGTGACATATGTTGGACAATCTGCCTATCCAGTTCTCAGTTGTTTGATTCCATGCATGCTTACATCAACAAATATGTTATATCTGAGATCCAAAAAAACATTTGAGAGGCTTGAACTCTTTGTCTAGGAAAGGACTATTAAATAAAAATAAAATTTCGATAAAACTGATGGCTTAGATACAACAAATATACCTTTTGAGATTAAAATGCTGCACACCCAAGTCTTCATCCCAAAGAAATATATAATCATAAATAGACACTACAGCTGGATGCAGAAATCGTTTTGCAAACCACCTGAAATAACTTTGCTATTTAATATATAATTACATACCATAACAACACCTTAATGACCAGATGAGACAGAAAATGAATAATTTGAAATAGAGTCAAATGTAAACTCCTTACCATTTTGTTTGGTTTTGAGCTACAACGTGTATGGCATTATTGCTCCACTCAAGATCTTACCAACCATCCAACATTCCATCATAATGGAACAACACAATTGTAAAAGTTTCTTGAAGAAACTGAAATTATCAATGTTAGGCTCTGCTATTATTCACAAATTATCAATGTTAGGCTCTGCTATTATTCACAAATTAAATATAACATTTATGTATTATATAACTTTTTATTCATCATTGTACCTTTTAAACAATTGTATTCACATTACGCTTCTATTTCAAACCCACTAGAATTGCTAGCAAGGTATTTGTAGTGGAAATATTAGCCTGTAAGCATAAATTTTACTTTATTTTTACACCTAACCACAATGTACACATATTTTTTTACCCAAAACATAAATATGCTTAGCTTATTGTCTAACCTTTGACTTTGAACTACTTGTTGACCATAAAGGTTTTAATTCCAAGTCTGATTTAGCTTCAATAATACCACGAGGTAAACCCTTCAAGCTTGTGGAAGCTGACATAGTTTCCTAAAACACACACTCCGAAAACCACATTAACACAAATCGGAGAACAAATAAACAAAAACCATGCTCATATTTTTAAATAGATTCGGACACCATAATAATTTTTGGAAGTAATAAAAAAGAAATACTATATGTGGAACAGAAGGAAATACTAATCAAGTACAAAACTCAAGCATCTGTTGTGCTTTCAGCAAATCTCAAGCACCAATCCATTCTATAGAAGGTTCCCAATTGATGACTTTAGCATGAATGCTTCTGAAGGTGATCGGTACCCAGGACTCCCACTCAGATGAAATTGCAGAGAGAGAGAGAGAGAGAGAGAGAGAGAGAGAGAGAGAAGATTTACCAGATGGGCTGATTTTCGTGCTCTAGTTCTTTTCTAAGAATATCAACAGAATGAAAGAAGATCAACTTCAGTAGATAGCAGAATGAGTGTGGACGGGTCCGATTTCTCATCATCAACAAGCTCTAATCTTTATGATAGTATAGAATCTCTAGTCTCTTCTAAAAAAACCCTAAAAAGACAAATCACAATCGATCAAATAATCGGTGATTTTGACCCAGGAGGGTTTTAATATTGACGATACAAAGGTGCAGAAAACAGCTTCAAAGGCGTCTTCATCTTCAGGGTGCAAAGAGAATTTGGACTCGATTTAACTAGGATTTGAGTTGCATAAATTAACAGGAGAAGAAAAGGAGATAGACACCACCGATTGTGCTTGGACAGATGATCATTCGGTAGGAGGATGGTCGATGGGAAGGACCAGTGGCCAACGACAAAGGTGAGGAACGAGATGTTTGATGAGAATGATAAGAAGGAGGTCAGGAGTAGCAGAGAAGCGGATTGGAGAGGAGATTGAGATGATGAAAGATAGAAAAAATCTAGAAGGCGGGTTTTCAAAATTTTGGGGATTTCGTTTCCCCCTGTCTACATTCGCGTTTCATTAAAATTATAAAATTATAAAGTGACATCCATAGAGGACGCACGTTTAAGATAAAGAGCCCTCCGTGTTTTTAATTTTTTTCTTTAGACACTAAGTTAATGGCACGCAAAAATGCGTGACGTAAATCCTTAAATATTTTAAAGAGATGACACTATTTTAAGGCCACTCTCCTTTGCGTAACATAAACAGTGAGTGTCGTGGCTTGCGCATCATTAAAGGCATATATTCTAGTAGTGTGTATATCATAAACTATATCTACCATAGTTTATATGTGTTCGTTTCGAAATAGTAAAACAGTGTATTGTATCCCAAACTATACCTATTATAGTTTGTATGTATGTTATCGTTTCGCGTAATGAATTCTGTAAAGTTATGTAATCTTCCCAACTATATCCACTATAGTTTGATTGTATGTTATGTATTGTACTAAAAACTTTGCAATTATGGTTGTATGTTGAAAAATACCCTGATGCTCAACATGTTACAAAAGGGATAAAAATGTCTAATATTTTTATTAAATGTAGTAATTTCTCAATTTGTATCAATTGTAAAAAATTTTTAATTTTTTGAAATGGTTTGCATAAAAACACAAAAAATCCTTATGTTTTACTTGTACTCCCCCCTGAAAACATTAAAAACAATGAAAATGTAGTGGTATGAACTCAAAGTTATTTGTGCATGTGTTGGATATTGAGCCTGGAAAGATGACCCTTAAGTTGATGTACGCAGGATTAATGGTATCCTAATCATAATTAAACACATAATTGTATTTAAATTAGTGAAACCATTAATCTAAGCATTAGAAAACACTTGTTTTTGTGTTAGGAACTGTTACTGATAATTGTTTGAAGTGAATGGGAAAGTTCTCGGTTAAGGCTCAATCCGAGAACCAGGTTCTCAGTCCAGAGAAATTTTCGGTCGGAAACTGGTTTTCGACCGAACATAGGTTCTCGGGCAAAATCAGGTTCTCGGTTCAACTGTTGTTTTCAGCCAT